TAGGGAAAGGCATTGGCTCAGGCACAGAAAGGCCTGAGGATATGTGTGCTTGTGGCCTGTGTGGCTCATGCAGGTCCCATGGGAGTCTTTGCAGTGCAGCAGGGTGTCAACTGCAGCTCTCCTGAAGCTGCGGTCCCAGCTACCCAGCTGGACTCTATGTACTTTGTCAATTAACACACTGAGTGTGAAAATAGAGCCTCAAAAGGACCCATCTGAATGTCTCCTGCATATGTGTGCTCTGACAAATGCATACAAATGCAAAGTCCTTTGACATATTTAAAAATCATTCCCTGAGGGCTTTATTAATGTCCCATGAGGCTCTAATATGACTAAAACTATAAAATTCCTTTTTGGGGATAGTCTGTATTTCAAAAAGAAGAGTTGCATGTGTAATATTTATAAGTGGTCCAATTCAGTACCTAGTAAGACCCAACCTTCCTTTTGTAATTTTTCCTTTTAACGAAGTAGGCTCCTGTCTAAAATGAAAAATAAAAATTATTTGTAACATGCAATTGTCCAGTTGAAAATGTCTGTATTTGCCCTCAAGAAATCATTAAGTTATTGCTGAGTGAGCTATGCAGATCATTCTTCTCTCCAAAGGAAGACTGCAAAAAGCCCAAAACTCAAATGAATGTTACCAGGTAATATATTTGATATATCAGTTAAAGTTATGTTTTGTTTCAGCTCATGAAAGTATTTAATATAGATATGGATCCAACAGCAAGAAATAAGCCTATGAAGTGCTTCTGTTTTTCACTGATACTGAACATCTCATTTGCTAGTGAACACTGAACTCATCTTGCCAGAAAAGAGAAAAAGAGGGAGATGAAAAGAAATATTAATGTAAGGCACATTCTTTTTTTTCAAAGTACAGTTTCTTGGAGCACTATCTAAGATGTAAAAGGACTTGTACAAGGCAGTGAATATTACTTCATAGAAAGCTGAAGAGAGTTAAAACTGCCTTTAATACTGGAGGTCTAATTTAGCTTAATGCCACTTTTTAACTTTGCCTGAATGAAGGAAGCTGAATTTACCTTCTCTTTTCAAGAATTACCTAATACGGATGCCCATGTTATGGTATGATGGTACACTTTATGTATTAGAAATAAACTGGTCACCAATGAATCTTTTAACAAATTAAATATATTGTAAAACTGACATCAATTCAACAGTGCATCTGCTACTTAATCACATGTAAGACAAGGCAAGTTTGCTTTTAAATCCTAGACCTTCTGGACCATGTCTCTTTCTAAGAAAGACAGAAATTAACTTAGTTTTCTCCACTGAATCCTTTTTTGCTTCCTTCCAACATGCTTTTGTACCAGCTAGCTGTTGTCAAACTAATGGAAGGTTGTAGGCTTTGTAGTGAACTTCTGGAGGTTAATTCAAGTGGTAGGTTATGAGCACATAGACAGTGCATAGGTAAATTCTGTCTTTGCTGTGTGTATTTGAAGAAAATGCAGCCTATGATGGCAACTGGGTGGGTGTAAAGTCAAAACAAGGAGAATGGCCTTGCAGAGTCTATATGACAGCAATAATAGCAATGCGAGAAGATAGTAATTTTCTATAAGACAAGGTGTTTTATCATCATACATCAGTGTGAGAAATGGAAAGCAGAACTACGCTGCAAAGGCCACAGGGCCAGTCTGGTTTCTGGGAGCTCAGGCCAAACAGCTGATGGCAGTGGGGATCTGCTCTGTGCCCATGGGTTATGCTGAGTACTCCCAAAGCACCAGAGGAAAACAGAAATGCCAGGAAAGAAACGTGCAGTAATCGTTATCTGTTCTTTTGTATATGTAGCAATACCTTATCTGAGAAAAAGCCATAGAGAGTCGTTTCCATACATATTTTTGCTTATATCCAGCCCCCTAACATTAAAGCACCAGTGATGCCTTTTGTTATTTGAAAGGTAATCCATTTAAGCTTCTGTAATGATTAACTGTGTTTTTTCTCATCTGCATTGTTGCTGTATTCTTATACACTGAATTATCCTATTTTAAGGAAACTGATGGTAATTTTTGAGTTTACTTGGTCAGTAATGATAAAAAGAGGTGCTGAAAGAAAAAAGCTAACTGCAAACCTGCTGTTTCTATCCACTACATAAACCGCATAGGGGAACTCAATAAAGATAAAATTTAGCAGTTACAAGTAAATACTTTGGTATGTAGGAATTTGAATGAGAATAGGCACGTTGCATTGCACATGGGAAAAAGGAAGGATTTCCTATCAGAAGCAATGCCACAGGTGAAGTACAGTGCCAAAAGCAGAAAGGCAGAGATGGAACTGAGACATAGGCTGGGGTGGATAATGGCAAGATCAAAAAAATGTGACATAAAATGGCAGATGAGAGATCAGTGGAATGATTCAAAAGGTAGAAAGACAAGATGAAAGGAACTGGAAAGAGCAATTTTATTATTTACATTTGAAAAAGAAGCAAAACAAATAACTCTGATAGTGATCTCAAGAGAGTATCTAGTCCATCTCCCTCCCTAAGGCAGGATGAAATATATTTGAACGGAGTGTGATGGATGCTTGTCTAACCTGTTTGTAAAACCTTCTTATGTTGTGGATGCTGAAGTCTTCCTTGCTTACTGCTTTCTCAGCCGAACTATTAGGCAGGTTTTCCTACGTGTAATCTGTATCACCTCCTCCAGGTGTCAATTTATTCCCCTTCTCTTTGCAGCAGCTTTTGTTGGACATGAAAGCAGTTACCGTCTCACCCTTTTCTTCTCTAAATGAAACCTGAGATCATTCCCTGCAACTCATACTTCTGAGAGTAGAGAAGTTTCTCATGGCTTTCTTCTGATCTTTCTAGGCTAAACTGCTCCAACTGCTAAAGTATGGTGCTAAAACTGAATGCAGTACTCTTGCTGAGATCTTACCAGACAGAAAAGGATTGCTTCATTTGCCTCATAGACAACACATCATCCTGCTGTCACATTTGCCTTATTCACAACAGCTGATTCACAGCCAGCTTGTGATGCATTAAGGCTATGAGTACTTTAACAAGCAGCATGTAGCAACAGGAACCAAGATATGGAGAACAGCTGGTGCTGAGCACATGATATTCACACTTCCCATGTGTCAGAGATTTCCACCTTGGACTAACTTTGTTCTAGTACCACAGCCTGAGTGCCCACTAGCAGCTGCAGTGCACTGGGATGCAAATGAAGCATGTCTTCTGGCTCATCTTTAATGGAAGCAATCTAGTCTCGTATGCTCCAAGAGGTCTGTGTGCTGTAAAGCAAAGCTTGAAAAGTGGTGATCTGCTTCTGCATCTGATCAGAACTGAAATACTACAGTAAATGCATCTTGTTACTCCCAAGTTTTTAATTGGAATGCTCCCATGCCACTTGCTCCATCTTCAATTTTTCTCTTTCTGACTCAGAGATGTCTCAT